TACATGTTTAAATAAATTATATAAATAACTAACTTGTTAGCATTGCTAAATCATCCAAAAGTTGAAAAGTATTGACACAGTGTGCCCAAAAAGTTTAAATATCCATTTCACAGCAGTTCAAAAATTAAATTAAATGTGGGTAAAATACTGCAAAAAATATTTTTTAAATTGTTTTTTAAACTGTAACTGTTTTAAATAGAATAAGAAGCAAAGAATTAAGCAAATTTGATGGGATGGATTCTTTTAAATTAAAAGTCGATTTAATCCTTATTGATGCAGTACTAGAATATAAAGATTTTTTTAGTTCTAAATAATTCTAACATTACCCTGAGGTTGATTAGATTTACAATTTAATTCTTGACATCATACAACACACAACACCCAATAGACAAGTAGGCAATTTTATTTTGCAGCAAAATTCACCTGGCTGAAGTCTGGAATCAAAACCTAACATCGTGGCACAAAGTTTACCTTAACTACGAGTAACTTCACTATTCGCGCATGACCATTACGAATAATTTTATGCCAAAGAATAATTTTATTATATTACTAAAATGAAAGTATGATGGCGTCATATTTGAAGTTTCAGGATCTTAAAATGATTATAAATTCTGTTAGTCTGAATTTTCTTGGGACTCTTCATAGGATATCTTCACCTTTTTTCTAGTTCCATTAGAATGATCCAGAATTTCATTATACTTATTTTCTGGATTCCCCTAAAATAATATTGATAATATGCAAACTTGTCCAGTAACATTCTAAGAGTTCATAGTAATCTCTTATAAATTACTCTCGAGTTCCACAATTCCCTCAAACTGGTAACAATTTCCAAGAATTGGCATAATTTTGTGCCCATTTTTTTCTATGAAATTCTTAAAATATTCATAATAATTTCCTTGGTGCACTCTTCAGAATGACCGTCACACTCTTCTCAGACACATCCTATAATTCAATTTGAAATGCTTCGTAGGTTAGGTCAGAAGTATTTTGTAATCCTCTTCAGTACTTCATAACTAGTCTCCCAGAAATGGCGCATAATTCCGTTAAAATGACTTAAAATTTTATTAAAATGAATCTCCATAGAAACATTGAACAGAATTCCAATTATTCTCACGATTCGTATCAGCATACTGCTTAACTTTCAGCATAAAAAAAATTCTATGATTTCTCTTCCGGATTGTATTTCCTATATTCACAAAATCTCCATGCAATTGTCATCAGAGTTGACAAGACAATTGACACCGTCTTCAACCAGAGGTTGCACAGACTGAATATTCAACACTTGACAAGGGACAACGCACCACACGCAGTAAACCAGTAGGGAAATTTTCAGGTTACCAAAACTTGCACCGGCTGGAGCGGGATTCGAACCCTCACTTCGTGGCACTCACAATACGCCTAAACAACGGGTGACGCCGCATGACCACTGTTGGCAGCAGCCAACATCTCAACCGCATGGGTTGGAAGGATGAGCTCCAGCAGCATCAACTTCTTTAGCCTTGACTGTGAACTGCGCCACAGCAAAATGGCGGATCCAGCCATGCCACGTACGGAGGACGATGTGCAGCCAAAGGCTACCTGCGATCGCTGTTTGCCCTCTCAACCTGCACCCGACTTGCATTGATTAACTCTTTTGAAGAAAATTCTATAAATTCTATAGCAAGCGGGTTGCAATGTCGAGAGAAACAAAAGGTTACTAGCAGGAATTAGCCTGCGCCGAGCGTGCCAAGCGAATTGCGAAGATGCCGGGCGAAAGCGTCACAGTAGCAGACTCCTCAGGAAACACCATCAGGATCGTCTTCGGGTTCGGGAAATAAAAAACACTTTATCTTCTGTTCCTCTTCGATATATTCACCTTGATGGTACGATTACAAATGACAATGAGTCCGGTTGTGACCGGCGCTTTTATAGAAAAAGGGTTTACAAAATAAATGAAACGCTGTGATTGGCTGCCCGACCAGTGACGCTTTGGCAGGAATGAGATACCGGCTGGTGTACAGCAATGATACATAGCGTTCGATGATTGGCTGTTGATTTCGGGTTGATGATTGAGGTGGTCGTTCACGCAACGACGGCAGACTCTCGTTCGCTGCAGCGAACATTCTAGCCCGCGCCGGTTCCCAGTAGATCGGCTTCGCCTTTTTTCGATGACATTCGTTGACGGTTATCTTCAATCGGCAGCAGTGAAACTTTCACAATCGACCGCCGATAAACAGTGTCTCCCACTCTTACGTCTACAACTCTCACTAGACCATCCTCCCCAGGGTACACTTGGACAATCTTACCCAACTTCCAACACTGTGGAGGCAAACTCTTGTCCGTGAGAAGAACTATATTTCCAAGTTTAACGTTTGAGAGAACTATGCGATTTTTTGGTCGGGGTTGCAAACTAGTCAAATAATCACGGTGCCACGATTTCCAAAAATGTTCACGCTTAGCCTGCAAGAGCTGCCATCTGGAAAGACGGTTTTCATTTATCCCATCATACGATGGCTCGGGGATCGCGGTCATCGGCCTTCCGATGATGAAATGGCCAGGAGTAATAACTTCTCCTTCGGCGGGGTCGTCAGAAAGCGAGAACAGGGGACGCGAGTTTAGTATTGCCTCTACTTGGGCCAACAATGTGCTAAACTCTTCAAAAGTCAGGGGGGTTGATTTTAGGATTCGTTTCAAGTGGAATTTAGTTGATTTTACAGCGGCCTCCCATAGGCCGCCGAACTCTGGAGACTCCGGTGGGATAAATCGCCAGCCGATTTCTTTACTGAGACAAAACGATTCGACAAGATTCATTGCAGTTTCATCACGGAACATGGTAAACAAATTATGTAACTCGGTCTTGGCACCGCGGAAATTGCTCCCATTATCTGAATGGAGCTCCCGAACCAAGCCGCGTCGGCTAACAAATCTCTGAAGAGCTGCAATGAAGGCTGAAGAAGTCATGTCAGAAACACACTCTAGATGAACGCATTTAGTCACAAGACACACAAATACCGCTATGTAGGCTTTAACGACGACTGGTTTTCTGATTCCCTGCCTGACGAGAAATGGACCTGCATAGTCCACACCTGTTATTTCGAAAGGGGCAGCAGGCGTGACTCGGCTTGCCGGCAGGTTCCCCATGTACTGCGAAACAGCCTTCGGCTTGACGCGAAAACACTGGACACACGACCTAGTTATTTTTCGAACGGCGGATCGGGATCCTAGCAGCCAAAATCGTTGTCTCAGGGAGGACAGCAATCCTGAGGGACCAATGTGAAAATTTTCCTCGTGGTACGCTCTGATAATAAGATCAGTAAGGGGATGACGTGGTAAGATGTATTGGTGCTTGGACTCGTAGGGGAGGTATGAATTTTGAATTCGTCCACCAACTCTCAAAACTCCATCTTGAATGAAGGGACCAAGTGATCCAATGTGCTTGCAAGGTTCACCGTCTTCCACTCGCTTAAACTCATCAAAAAGGGCCTCATGCTGAATGACTTGAACGATTGTATGCAAAGAGGCACGCAGCTCTGGAATGGTAGGCAAATTATGCGAAACGCGATTTTTAGGATTCTTTTGCCGGCAGTTGTAAATAAAACGCTTTACATAAGCAAGAACACGTTGAAGCTTCCTAAGCGAATCGAACCTGGCAAACAACGGCAGTTTGTCGTTGTTGAGAACTATCATTACGGTTGCATTCGCTGGTTTCAGGTCGGGGAGCTCGAACTCAGGAATGTCGTCAACACTTTGAGCATGGAAGTGAACTGCGTGAAGGAATTGGGGACCGTTCCACCACATTTCGTTGGTGTTCAGAACGCTGGGCAGTTGGCCACGTGTTATCACGTCGGCAGGATTTTCCTTAGAGCGCACGTAGTTCCAGCTCGTGTGAGCATTTTCCTGAACGATCTCAACGACCCGGTTTCGAACAAAAGGAAGCAGTTGGGACGGGGATTTTTTGAGCCAATGGAGCACAATTTGACTATCACTCCAGAGCTGAACATTTGTGAAACTTACTTGAAGAGCGGAGGTTACCTTGAGGACCAACCTTGAAAGCAGCACAGCTGCACAAAGTTCTTTACGCGGTATTGTCATATCCTTGGTTGGGGCAATTTTGGATTTGCTGCAGAGTAGTTTGACGGACACGGAACCATCGGATTGAATGCTCCGTAAATAGATGCATGCTCCGAAAGCCATTTTCGAAGCATCAGAAAAACCATGCAATTCCAGAACAACGCACTTGGGAAGGGTAACTGAACGAGGGATTCGAATGTCATTCACATCAACAAGAGAACTGCTGAATTTCAGCCAAGACTCCAACAGAACTCCTTCCAAAGGGGCATCCCAATCGATATGCGCGATCCAAGCATCCTGGATCAGCTTTTTTCCCAATACTATTACAGGGGACAGAAGCCCAAGGGGATCGAAAAGCTTTGCGATACACGAAAACATGCTTCTCTTGGTAACTGGGAGGACTTGATTCGACACAAAGTTCACGGCAAAGAGAAACTCGTCATTTCGAGGGTCCCAAACGAGACCGAGCGTCTTGATTACCTCATTGGCTGAGAGTTGATCAAGCTGAATTAGGGTTTCTCTCTGCGACTGTGGAACATTATTGAGAATGGGTTCATAGTTACTGCACCATTTGTGGACAGGGAAACCACCGAGCTCTAGCATTTCTTGAATTTGCTTTCGAATTTCCTGTGCTTCTTCGACAGAGTCGGCGCCAGACAATACGTCATCGACGTAGCAGTCATTACGGATGGCACGGTTTGCCAACGGGTACTTATCTCCTTCATCGTCGCAGAGCTGGAGCAAGGATCGTGTTGCTAGAAATGGAGCTGTAGCCGTCCCATAGGTTACAGTCAACAATTCTAGAATTCGCAGTTTCTCGGACGGACTTAAACGCCAAAATATTCGCTGAAGGGACGTTTGAAGGGGATCAAGAAATACCTGGCGGTACATTTTTTGTATGTCTACTGTTAGAACGAAAAGATACTTGCGGAACCTCAACAGTATGCTTATCAGGTCACTCTGAACTGTGGGGCCGACCTGCAATACATCGTTGAGAGACAGATTTGTAGATTCTTTAGCCGATGCGTCAAAAACTACTCTTAACTTTGTGCTTAAGCTGTCCGGCCTGAGCACGGCATGGTGAGGCATGTAGTACTTCAGTAAGTTTGGGGGATCATCAAATTCGAACACCTCTTTGCAATGACCCAACGACTCATACTCACGAATGAAGTTTGAATACTGAAGACGGAGGTCCGGATCCTTGTTGAGTCGTCTTTCCAACAAATGGAAACGGCGGAGAGCTAACGACCGATTACTTTGCAACTGAGTGGAATTCTCCTTCAAGGGAAGCTTAACAATGTATCGTCCAGTGCTGTCACGGCGATGATTCTGGCGAAACGATTCTTCGCATTGCTCATCGTCCTCAAATCGTGAGCGTTTTACTTCTACTTCCTCTACTTCCCAAAACTGCTTGATGGTTCTATCAAGCGAGGCGAGCGACACCGAATGGACCTGCTGATAATTAGCAACTGCATCTGAGTCCGTCACGACCTCTCCTGATGCGACCCAACCGAGATAGGTTTCGCGGAATTCTGGCAAACCTCTGGAAATAACTACGCTACCCGGTTTCAACAATTTGAAGAAATGTTGGTTACCAATAAGCAGGTCAACCTCGGAAGGACGGTGAAAGTTGGGATCAGCCAATTGAAAACCGCAAGGAAGTTTCAAATCAGACACATTAATCGGTTTGCATGGAAGAAGACCGGTGATCTTCGGGGTAACAAAACAATTGAGGGACAAACGGAAGTCACTGTACATGGATTGCATGTCCACTGTCACGAAACGATTGGATTTACTCTGAGTATCGCTCACACCGAAAATTCTCACATCCACTGACTTTCCCTGGAAACCGAGCTTCTCATACATGGGCAACGACAAAAGATTGACCTGCGCACCGCAGTCCAGGAAAGCACGACACGGGACGAACTGCCCATTGCAGTCAACGAGATTCACTTGTGCAGTTAAAAGCAGTACGTTCGGCAGAACGGCTGAATTGGCGAGAGAGTACGACGAAGAAACGGTGGCGGACTGCACACTTTCACTGGAGGTTTGACTGGACATCGAAGCCATATTTGGCACGACCGTGGGACGATCCTGCAGAGTTTCGGGTTTTGGATTGACATTGCTTTCAAATTTAGAGCCTTCATCATGGATGAGAGAATGATGGTGTCTGTTACACTTCGCGCATGTTCTCTTGGATAAGCAGTCGACTGACCGATGCCCGTGACGAAGACAATTGAAGCAAAGGTTTGCTTCCTTTACCTTAGTGACGCGTTCGGGAATAGACAGCTTTTTGAATTCGGGACATTGGTAGTTGAAATGCGATTTTGAGCAGAACTGACAAGACACTGGTTTGGGATCTGGGGTGATGGTGTGCACTTTCACACCTGCGGGCTTGTTTGCGTGTTGTGGGGGCTTGGGTGGCGCATTTTTCATGGGAATGGGAAGATCGCTTTCACACCTTTCAAGGACTTGGCACTGTTCTTTGAGGAATTTGAGGGTATCATCGAGCTTTGGTAGCTCCCCATGGGCAAGAGTTCGCTCCCACAGCTTACGAGTGTTTGGATCGAGGCAAGATATCAAAATTTTGTTAACAATCAGACCGGATGTTCCTTCGGTCGATTGTTGCATAAACTTCAGACCTTCAATGTGTCGCGTACAAGAGTCAACTAATTCCCTAAGTTCTTTGTGAGACTCCTTACTCATCTTTTTCAAAGAAAGGAGCCCACCAATGTGAATGTCCACAATGACCCTGGGGTTTTCATAACGCTCCTCAAGTATTTCCCAAGCATGGGCATAGTTGTTGTCGGCTAATGTTCTCGAGTCAATGATGTTGGCTGCTGCGCCAACAAGAGATTTCTCCAAATGATGCAACTTAATGGCATCCGAGTCTGAACACCGGCCAACGATGTCCAAAAACATTGACTTAAATCGAGGCCAACTTTCATACCGACCATCAAAAGTCGGTATGGGAGCTTTCAAAGGCTGCTGCTGCACAATAATTTGATTGTGACTGGAAAATGGAATCTGGTTGTCAGGATTGGCAACCGGCTTGGAAACTTTTTCAATTAACCATTCGAGACGCATCATACACTCCGTATGAAGCTTGTCAAATTCATCCAGCTTGGCATCTTGTTCTTCCATCTTATTTTCCGGAACAATGCCCAAAATTTCTTTGTGCAGCGCAGTATACTCAAGGTAGTGAGAGTCTAGCTTTTTGGAGTAAACTTTGAGTAACGGGAGACTCACCTGTTTGTCATCTTCGGCTTTCTCGAGAGCGTGGGAGATTGCTGTCACTTTGCCCTTCACCTGGCCGCGTTGGTGGATGAGCGGCTTAGTGTCAGCCATCGTCAATTTGGTTGGTGTCCGGTCAACGAAAACGACGTTACTGCAGGAAGAGTAACGAAGTCACTACGGATAGAGTGACTGGAAATGATATTGAGGGATTGATCCGGAACCAGGAGCACTTCGAATGGTTTTAGCACTGATAGTTTTTTGTCGTTTTTAGCACTGGATTGTCTTCTTTTTGTCACTAGTTCATCTGCTTCAGTCAATGCTCCACTAATTCTTCTTGAGTTAATGTTATTCTCTTTTTTTTCACTTCACTTTTCAATTTTTTCCGTCATATCCGGTTCGAAGGACCAACATGTTGGCAGCAGCCAACATCTCAACCGCATGGGTTGGAAGGATGAGCTCCAGCAGCATCAACTTCTTTAGCCTTGACTGTGAACTGCGCCACAGCAAAATGGCGGATCCAGCCATGCCACGTACGGAGGACGATGTGCAGCCAAAGGCTACCTGCGATCGCTGTTTGCCCTCTCAACCTGCACCCGACTTGCATTGATTAACTCTTTTGAAGAAAATTCTATAAATTCTATAGCAAGCGGGTTGCAATGTCGAGAGAAACAAAAGGTTACTAGCAGGAATTAGCCTGCGCCGAGCGTGCCAAGCGAATTGCGAAGATGGCGGGTGAAAGCGTCACAGCAGCAGACTCTTCAGGAAACACCATCGGGATCGTCTTCGGGTTCGGGAAATAAAAAACACTTTATCTTCTGTTCCTCTTCGATATATTCACCTTGATGGTACGATTACAAATGACAATGAGTCCGGTTGTGACCGGCGCTTTTATAGAAAAAGGGTTTACAAAATAAATGAAACGCTGTGATTGGCTGCCCGACCAGTGACGCTTTGGCAGGAATGAGATACCGGCTGGTGTACAGCAATGATACATAGCGTTCGATGATTGGCTGTTGATTTCGGGTTGATGATTGAGGTGGTCGTTCACGCAACGACGGCAGACTCTCGTTCGCTGCAGCGAACAACCACGAAGCCCACAAAGATAAATGGAACTCTACTCAGGATTAGCTTGAAGTTCTCCTTTGACTTCACAAGGAATTCGCCTCACACTTCACTGTGAACTAAGTTCAGAATTACTTTAAAATTCCAATAATGTTCAACGTTGATGGCCTTTAATAATTTAAGTAGTAAGTTTGCTTTTTATTTTTTTAGAGGGTAAATCAATTGCAGTGATATTTTCAAAACAACATGTTTAAAAACTCTGGCGAAATCTGGAACACATTTAAAAAATCTGGAAATATACGTGGTCTGTCTGTGTATCTGACAAGACGACTAAAAATCTTGAAAATCCAGATAAATCTGGAATACTGGCAACGCTGAGTGAGAGAATGATTTTGCTACCCTCTCCTTGTCATTTAATCTAACTGCCATGGATGGCTTTTATGAAGACGGTCTAGTGAGGTAGAGGTGTTTCCAAGTGATATGCTAGTTGACCGTCATTTCTGAGATGTGACGGTTATGCGAGAATGACCGTAAAGGTACAATAACCGTTATGATAATGCACAGCACTGCACATGGCTTTGAGGTGGGCTGGATGCGCGCATCTAAGAAATCAGTGAGTAACCTGATTCAAATTTACCAGGACAGTACTGTTCTGGAGCCTGTTGCAGGGGCCTTTGGGGGCCATGGTCTCTCTACTCAATTGGTAGAACGCACCAACCACTTTCCTTCAAGGAAAAGTTGACGGGTGAGATGGTCTACGTGAAGCAGCCATAGGTTTGGTTTTTCTTTTGGATCAACAACTTGTGCTGCAACAACATCTCTTGACAATCATTGATTATGAGCATCCCATATGTGTAGTGAATTGATGTTCCACTTTTCTTTCACTTCGAAAAATCCAGTCTCCAGGGAAAATCATACTTTCTGAATAGAATCAGGATTGGGGGGGTGACTCTGACAGAGGACGACTATTTACGTGACTAGAACCGGTTTCCCTTCAACAGTAGTCAGCCGTCATGAAGATCGTCACAGAGTTGCCGTTTATGTGTTTTTTACCGCTGTTGTCTAAGTCTTATTTTTTTCCCTTGCTATGAAGTTCCAACATTTGCCAACACATATCATGAATAAGAATATTGTCAGTTTCTTGTTTCATTCAGTGAGGGGAATGGTGCGACGAGGACAACGGTTGTCGTGTTGTATGCGAGTGTGTCTAAATATGTCGGTGGTGGTCGCTAGCAACTCTATCGCGCTATATCATTGTGTACTCCTGCCAGACAATCTTTTCCATTAGGCAAAGTTCTGCTCTAAGTAGCTATTGGTGAAATACAAACAAAAAAGTACGACAAGACTTTTGTTGTTCTATATTAGCTTTAGCTAGTCAAACTCGGTCATGCGGTAAAATACTCGAACTCTCATGCATGATGACATGGAGCTTAGAAACAATTCCTCATTTGAGGATTCCGGAAAAACAATGTTAGCTATTTGTGAATAATTCAATATTTCTACCCGTCGGATAAATAACATTAAACCGAAAGTTGAACCTTTTCCAATCTCTGAAAATCCATGGGCCAAAGCTACCGGTCAAAAGCACCTACACTGCTTTTTCTTCCTCGGGGCAGCTGTGCCTAATTTATGGTTATTATGTTCTAAAGCTCCTTCTAAGCTGACTTTAATTTATTGGACAGTTTCTTCTGCCTTGGGCGCCTAGGAGAAAGCAGCAACGACGACGACGACGATGAGGAAGGGGCTTAACGTTTTCGGTGGCTCTCGGGATCGGGTAGCCAAAAATCGAACACCCTGTTGACTATCGTAAGCTTCGTGGGAATCGATACGTCGTCGTTTGTTCCTCGATTGGAAAATGTCACATGGAAGGTTCCAATAACGGCGAGCCATTGAAAAACGATTGCTTCTTTTCATCTGAGCAGACGCTTGCTTAAAGTGTTCGATATGGCAAAGGGGAACGGAACCAAGAGCTGGTGTGGATTTTGTTTCTTTCTTGATGTCTAGAAGTGCGGGCGTTGCGAGCTATTGATTCGCAACATGTGGCAGACTCTTGGATTCCTCTCACGACTCACTCCCTTGGGCGCTGTAGGTGGGGGTTGGGGGAAGATGTTGACTCGCACCTTGAATCACTAGCAAAGAGGAGTGCAAGTGGTGAAACAGACAATCTTTTTCATCTTTAAGTGGTGCACATTTCGACGGGCGCGTTCACATTGCGGATCACATCACAAAGCTAGCAGAATATCAACATGGTCGCATGTCTTACCGTTAAGTTACAAGACGAGGTTGCTGCGGCGGCGTGAGAAAATGGCCAGCGGTGGTGGCGTGGCGCGATGGAGCAGGTTTACTTCAAACGAAAAGGTGAATTTTCATACAAAATGTATAACATTTGTACTGGCCAGAACTTTTTGTGAAATTCGTCATAACTTTCAAATCATAGAGTTAATGTCACTAATGTCGGCCTTAGTGTCCCTAATATTAGGCCCATACATACATGTTGAAGGAAAGCATAGTATCCATCCTGTTTTTTGTTCAAATAAATTTTGCAACAAATCAGATTATTAAATTTTGTTTATTCAAATTGGTTCACAAAGTTTTATTGAAAAACCAAACTTAAAGAATATGGTTATAATTTCTTTCAAAATTGGACTCAATTGTAAAATGTATTGGCAACAACTTCAAATGGAATTGATCGCAATTTATCACAGCTTCTATTGGAAATATTTCTTTAATTTATTTTTATTAATCTTTCAATGTAATTAATCAAACTTGCCGATAAAAATGGACAATATTTTTGCTATATTTAATGAAAGCAGTCGCAATTTTAAAAGGGAATTTGGAGCAAGTTCTTAAAAAATTTGGCCATTTTTATCAAATATTGACAAAACTTTTGAAGCTGGTTCCAAATGTAGTCATAATGTAGTTAAATATTTTGGCCATACTCTAAACCGTTTCAGTCCCAATGCTTTGCAAGGTTTATTTGAAGGAACTTCTTATGCTTCTTGTTAGAATTCAGTTGTAATTGTATTAGCAATGAAAATAAATGAAAAAAAAAAAACTACAGCAGACAGCCCTATGGGGTTGTACACAATAGTGACGTTGGACTATGTGGTCTTACGCTGACATCACACTGTTTGACAAAACGTCAAATATTTGGCAAATTTAGACAAATATATTTGACCAAGGTGTAATGGTCAAATATATTTGACCAAATATGTTGTTTGTATTTGTCATTTCAGTTATTTGGCAATTTGTCAAAAAGTGTGAAGGCTATTTTATTTTTTGCCAAACATGTTTGCTGAATACAGCCTAATATTTTATTTGATACTCTTGAAATTCTTGAGTAGCAAACAACATCAAATAATCGAACGGCGCCGGTGGTGTAGTGGTAAGCGTGATTACCTCTCACCCCAGAAGGCCTGGGTTCAATCCCAGTCGGCGCCGCCGGGATGTTCTGAGGCATAACATCTCTGATCACGCCTTTCTTCGGATGGGAAGTAAAGCCGTTGGTCCCCGGTTCATGAGTTGATGGGTCGATAGGTAGGGTCCAGGTGTAGGAGCCGCCTTCCTGGCACGTCGGTAGCATTGGTGCTCAGCACGGAAAACAAGATTGACGGAAAAAACAAACCAAAGGAAAAAAAAAAAATAATCATATAATCGTCGCTTGTTGTGATCGTACTTGACCACTGGAATAGACAATTTATGTGATATGACACATCAATGCATATGAACTTTTTATCTCCCAGACAAGTTCCTGCAGAAGCAGAGAGTCGAGTTTGGAACGCCTTTGGATACGGTTGTGTTTTAAGTTTGTTCTCTGTTTTGTGCGTGCATTCGCTTTCATAGTTTTCGGCTGCATTTGCCAGATTAGCGCTGGCACTCTGCCTCCCGGACGGCTATACGTGTGTGAGTTGTGGTTTTCTCGCTTTCCGAGAAGTTTTAGAATCGAGAAAGAAAACATGATTCATCATGTTTGCAAAATTGCAAGCATCAGAAGATTTGGCGCTATCTGCGTTGTTTGATTTTTTCTCCCGGACTAGAAATTTGTGGCA